GGTACAAAGAAGATGTGATTCTTGTAATATTTTAATGGGAACTTAAGCACTTGGGAACAGTTAATACTCTGTCTCTATTTGAATGTATTGCTTTTTCCTTCTACTTGTGAATCCTTCATTGAGGAAAGGGAAAGCTAATTTAACTAACTAGGAAACAAAATCTATAGGAAATAACTAAATTCATTTTACTCACTGGGTGATGAAAAATAAGAAATGTAATTATCATTTGCATAGGTTAAAAATACATCCACATAGCCCTGGCCGGCATTGCTCAGTGGTTAGAGGGTTGGCCTATGCAACAAAGGGTCGCAGGTTCCATTCCCTGTCAAGGGCACATACCGGTCGGTTAGTGTGCATTTGGGAGACAGCCAGTGGATGTGTCTCTCTCCCCTTCTCTCCCTTCCACTCTCTCTGAAAAGCAATGGAAAAAATATTCTCTGGTGAGGATTAAAAAAACAAACATAAAACGATATATAGATTGCAATAATATATAAGAAAAAATATATACATTTACCCTAAGAAATATAATCAACTCAATCCTTAGCACCTGAAGTCCACAAACTAAAAACAAAACAAGAAGCAAAAATCAAGGAGATTTAAAAATTGTATAAAAACTAAGAGAGGAGAGAGAGAGAGACTGTATTTTGCATTTGCTCTAGAGGAATAATATGATACATTATATACTATAGTTACTATGTTAGAAGAAATCAGCAACAATTATCTATGGACTGCCTCACAGCCTAAAACTCAGTGGGAACACAATAGTGTCACTGGACCACACAGCTCTCTACCCTCCTGGGGCTTGTAGTCTATAATGAAATTTTATTTCGCCAGGCAAGGGTGAATGCTGATAACCTAGTCAATCACCATTAAATTTTCACTTAGAAATGACTGTTACAAAATGTAATAATATTGGTTAAACTTTTAGGAAGGGGTGTCTTTTAATTTGTCGTATTTTTTATATTTTATAAAATACATTGTGTAATCGCAAACTACATTATGTATTATTCCAACCATTCTAGACTCTAATGCCTGTATCATGAGTGTGTACAACTTATATTCTAACAGTGAGGAGATTCATTTCCATGCCCCTATAAAATGTGGAACATTTCTCTTTTCCTTTTCCTCTTTTTTTCCTCTCCAATTCTCCTAATTGCTTACAACTTCAATAACAATCAACTTACAGCTATCTAGTTTCCTCCAAACTCCCACCCATCTTCACTGCTCCGACAATCCAGATTATTTTGAAGGAAATCTCAGATACCATATCACTTCAGCTCTTAATATTTTAGTAGATATCTCTAAGAGGTAAGGACTCCCCTTTATTATAAACATTATCTCAGCCCCCAAAGGAAGTAACAATTGTTTAATATAAAACATTCAGTCAGTGTTCACATTCCATAATTGTCTTATAACTATCCTATTTGTTTGAATCTAGATCAAAACAAGGTCTACACATTGCAATTGATGAACGTGTCATATGGACATTCTTTTTTTCTTAGTCTTGATTCTCAAACAAAAAAATGCAGAATTGTTTTATAGCAAAAGCAATGCTCTCTGATGAAGCGGGAGTGCCAAATGCTGTCTTGAAGAAGTGGGTGAAATGTCAAGTCATTGCCTTGACCAAAGAGATAACCACTTAGCACACACCTATCCCCGAATGATAAGGAAGGGAAGGAGGCACTGTGCTTCCTGGTAAACATTTTTATTAGCCCCAGAGAACTGCATACAGACATGATGCTTGTGAAACAAAGTGCTCTGCAGTAAATAGGAATTGAGGAAATAGACAATGGGTTGTAAACCTGAAAATCATATACGAGTATTTATTTCAATGAAAGAAAAGTTTATAAATGACCAAATCAAACAGTCTGCTTTTAAAGTTTTGCAAATGCTGGTTGGATTGATGAATTATGTGTAGGATTTTTAATCATAAGGCTTTAATTTAAGGCTTTTACATTTTTCAAAACTTTGCTTATTCCATTCTACTCTGTGCCTTTGGTAAAAGAAAAGAAAATCACTTTAGGTGATAGGAAATCAGACTCTCACCATAAGGAACATCTCTTAACGATCACACCTTAAACAAAACATCTTTTTCACTTCAAAACTGAAAACCTAGTGTTAGAATACGACACAATGCAAACAATAATACATACACATACGTATTAAATTGCCATGTAGCAGAGGAAGCAGGAGGAGCTCACAGTAACAGGGTAGGAGTTAAGAAAGTGGGTTACACCTGGCCAGTGTGGCTCAGTGGCTGCAAGTCGACCCATGCACTCTGAGGTCACCAGTTGGATTCCCAGTCAGGGCACATGCCCGGGTTTCAGGTTCATCCTTAGGAGGGGAGAGGGGCTGTGAAGGAGGCAGCCCATCATTTTGATGTTTCTCATTGATGTTTCTATCTCTCTCTCCCAGATACTCTGCTACATTGTTAAAAGGAACCTGGGAAAAGCAGTACCTTGCCTGGGCAATGTTAAAGTTTCCCTTGCTGAGGTTCCAAATATTTGAAAAAAGTACAAGAAGTGACTGTATATTAAGTTCTAGGTAAGACAATACTGTGGTAAATGAACTAAACGGAGATTAACCTGAAATTGGACTCTGATCCCCAAGGGAACCGACTGGTGTAACCCAGTCTTTACCAGCCTCGCAGAAAAAAACAAGCTTTCGTCTGTCTATCTCAACTGTGATCTGGCTGGATATGATCTAAGCTTTGGACGGTGCCTAAGTGCATTTTTTATGCATAATACGTGCTTGACAATACTAATCTGGGAACTTACACAGGAAAATGAAGACCTAGCATTTATAATTCTGCCTTTCTCTATTTTCTCATTTTGGTCACACAAGTTTCCTTTTCTGTTGGGTCCCTCTCAAATAATAGCAAAAATCTAATAAATTAGTTAATCAACAAGAAAGTGGAAGGGGGGGAGTGGTTATTCATAGTTTAAATCATTTGTTGCAGAATTTATTTTAAATTAAAACCTCCTCCCTCACAGTGTGAAAATTCATGGCTCTCCCCAAGCACCTGGTCCTCTCCGTTACACCTCTCTCTACTCCTTGAGGAAAGAGGGAGAGGTCTCCAGTGAATATATTGTTAATAACATCTTATGTTGCCCAGCCAGCATGGCTCGGTGGTTGAGTGTCAACCTATGAACCGGGAGGTTAAGGTTCGATTCCTAGTCAGGGCACATGTCCAGCTTGCTGGCTCCATCCCCAGTAGGGGGTGTGTAGGAAGCAGCCAATCAGTGATTCTCTCTCATCATTGATGTTTTGTTTTTTGTTTTTTTTTAATATATTTTATTGATTTTTTTACAGAGAGGAGGGGAGAGAGATAGTTAGAAACATCGATGAGAGAGAAACATCGATCAGCTGCCTCCTGCACACCCCCTACTGGAGATGTGCCCGCAACCAAGGTACATGCCCTTGACCGGAATCGAACCTGGGACCTTTCAGTCCGTAGGCCGACGCTCTATCCACTGAGCCAAACCGATTACGGCATCATCATTGATGTTTCTATCTCTCTCCTTCTACCTTCTTCTCTGAAATCAATATATATATAGTATTTTTTAAATCTTATGTTCCTTTAAATCAGGGGTGGGGAACCTTTTTCTGCCAAGGGCCATTTGGATATTTATAACATCATTCGCTTAATATAATTCACTTAATAAAAATTTATGTTGCTATGAAAAAAGCTCCTAGATTTATTGAATTTCAAGTCCCACCTGCAGTTGCTTTGGCAGGGCCAAATGATCTCTCTGGCCTTATATGGGGCCGGACGTTCCCCACCCTTGCTTTAAATGCTTGATCCTTTTAAAGCACTTTCAGGCCCACTGTGTTCTTATACCAGATGGTATAAACCATACACCTATTTGAAAGGTAGGGAAAGCTACATGTAGCAATTGATCCATGTCTTTTGAACTACATCCAATGGTCTGGAACCTGAAGCAAGTGGCCCCATGCTCATGCTCACTGGGGTGCTGCTTGCTCCCCCCCTCATGAAGTTGGTTCCAGACATCTTCCTCTTTCCTCCTCAGTTAATTCTGATTCGTGCCTCACCTCGTGTAATTACTAAATGGGAAAGACTTGATTGAGTGAACCAACATTTAATCAACTAGTATTTATTAAATGTCCACTAGAAGCCAGACCCTTTGAAGAGTTTTTTTTTTGTTTTTTTGTTTTTTTTTTATTGATTTCAGAGAGGGAGAGCGAGAGAAACATCAATGATGAGAGAATTATTGATTGGCTGCCTCCTGCAAGCCCCTCACTGGGGATCCAGCCCATAACCCAGGCATGTGCCCTGACCAGGAATCGAACCGTGACCTCCTGGTTCATAGGTCGATGCTCCACCACTGAGCCATGCCGGCTGGGCTGAAGAGTTTTAAGGAGAAACTTAATCTTCTTTGTCACTTATGTCACTCTGTCACTATAGTGAAATTCATTACTTTATCAGTTGGGACCAATTGTCTAAAAAGAATATTTGCCTATTAGCCATACTGGAGTCTACAGCTAGACGTGTCCTGTTCCTGTTTGTAAATGTGGAAATAAACTTCAGTGGCTTCTATAAGAAAGCTAAGGCTTAGAAAATGCCTGCACAGAGTTGATAAGATTTCTAATTGTGTTGTGGTAAAACTTCATTTCTTAAATCACTTAATTCAACATTAACTCATTTTACAAAGTTGCATCTGCTAGGCTCTGGGGGTAGGAAATTGAGTTAGCACAGAAGTCCTGACCTGAAAGGAGGCTGGAGTCTAGAACAGGAAGACAGACCGATGCACTGCTCCAAGCTCTCCAAGAGCCTCCAGGTTCTGAATGGTCAGGCCTCACACCCCTCTGGACAGAGATGGACCCCAGCTCCCCCACCCTGTCTGCTGACTTTTCCTTTCATTGCTACAGGCTCCCCGCACGCCCTCCTCCACTGGACGTTGCATAAGTCCCAGTTCCCTCAGCCGTGATGAAACTTCACCAGGCTCTTCTTGGTCTACTTCGCTCCTCTTCCTCCTTCAGCACTCGGCCACCACCAGGCTGCCTCAGAAGCCTTTTCGGACTTGCAGATCTGGTCATATATCCCTATGACACCCTCTCCCACCTTGACCCTTACGACACTTGTCGTTTTACAGGTGCTAGTATGATTGTTTTAATATCCGACTATCTGCTCTCAGGTGCCTACGATCCTGGAAGGGTGGGGGCTGGTTTTAGCCGTCGGTGCTTGGCACACAGTAGGCCCCCCAGGAGTGAAAAAGGAACATTCAGATGCGCCTGGATCTAAGCAGCCCGGGCCTCCGGGAAAGGGCAGGATGGAGTGGATTAGCTTCATTAACCACAGGCTTTGCGGCGCCTGTCTCAGCCCCCGTGTGGCACTCTGCAATCTAAATGTTGTTTGTCCCCAGGCCCTGGGAGGCTGGACGCTCTCAAATAGCAGGCACCCCCCTATATTTAGTGTTGTGGCCCCAGGATCTAGCTTACCTGTTACTTAGCATAAGACACAGAAGAAAACCACTTAGTAAATATTGGCCATTGCCAGCACGAAGCAATGCATGCTGGAGGGGGGCGGATTATTTGGAGAAATGTTTAAGCTTGAGCTGACTTTTCACAGAATACAAACGACTCCTCAACCACCGGTTTCAAAAGGGGGGGTGGGGGTAGGGAGGGCTTTTCCTTCTCCCTTTCTTCTGGAAAACAAACAAAAACAGTAAGACCTCTGAGCCAACGCCTTCACCCCTCTAGGCCTTCATTCTCTTCTCTCCCCTCACTTCCCGGGCGAATTCTGGACGCGTCCACCCAGGCACTGCGGCCACGGCGGCGCCCC